ATTTATGCCCCCACAACAGAGTATAAACGTCTACTTTGCCATACCTTTTCTATAAAGTATTATGAAACTTTGATTTTTATCAAACTAATATGTGAAAAATAGCATCTCATTGTGGTTTTACTTTGCATCTTTTATTATCAGTGAGTTTTTCTTCATTGAAATGGCTTTTTGAGAACGCCCTGTTTAATTATGCATTTATATGGAGGGACTAAAAGCAGGATCATTGGTATAAAGATTAGGTTAGAGATCGAGAGCCTCCAAGTACCAGAGTTTGATTTGACATGTGTGGTTTCTAGAATCTGACATCTGGGGTTTCTTAAAAGAGCCGAAAAAAGCTACTCTTAATCAAATGAAAAGTTGTGAGATCTCCGTGTACATCTTGTGGCATTAGCCTTTCAACCTAAACTCTGACAGAGTTTGAAGAGGTAACTCAGCTCTGTCTCCAGGAGACATCAATACAGAAAAGTGAACAATTTCAAATTACTCAGAGGTAAAATCCTGTAGTGCTAGGGAGCTAGGAACTCACCAGTGATGGCTGTTTCCTGTTTCTGGAAGCTTGCCCTATAAAATGGTGGGGAACTTAGTTTACATTCTTCCATTCATCTAAGAGGTGCCAGCCTCCAGGGACACAAAATCTAGGAAGAACTGCCTTCAAGGAGCAATTTCTCTAAGGAGAGGTTGAATATAGAGCCCCGTGGCAAGGCAAAAAACATTTTAGGGTCTCAATGGACATGTAGCTTGTAGGACAGACTGAACTATTTTGCTTAGCTGGTGCTAAGAATGACTCACTCACAGGTACACAGTAGGAGGATCACTCTTTTCTCCTTCATCTTCTCTGCATGGGGTGGCAGCTTCCTTTGTTTACACAAATAGATCTTTATGTTTGGCCAATGGAGGGGAGACTGACCTAACCAACTGGCCCCTATTTGGTCTTCTGGAGTTTCTCCTTCTGTCTGGAGTTCTCTTAGCTGACTGCCACCACAACAGAGCTGATTCTTAGGGAGTCACATAACTTCTCCTTTGAAAATCTCACCCAAGGAGGAACTTACAGCCTTTCTTTGGTTCCCCGTAGGGTAGCTGAGATTAAAAATTTCAAAATGATTTATACTACTACTAAAGGAGAACATGATGAAACACAGGTTTCATCTAACTTGCTTATAAGGTTCATAGGCTTTGGCGCATTTCCTGTCCAGTCTGAAATCTCCCTTTTTCATTCTCAGGATTTCCCCACTTTATTGAAGAGTTCTAGCCACACAGACTTTGATGGAGAAAGAGCTGACTCTCTCCCTCAGAACCACAGGACAACTCTCCCCCTTCTTCAGATGTCCCTGAAACACAGAGAGTAACCTTCAAACGTAGAGCCACATTTCCCCCCTTGGTACAGGTGAGGTCAAAGGTATTTCCTCACACTGCTTCTCCTTTCTTCACATATTCCAACTTTCACACTTCTGATTCAAGGCTATTCTTGGTGCTCATTTAAGACCAAACTCACCTGGACATAGGACAGAGGGCCACGTGAGCACGAAGCTCAATTTACTCTGGTTCAGTGTCTTTCTAAGCGCCACACAAAAAGGAGGGGAAGATGTTTTCTGACTAAGAGCACTTTAAAGGTGTGATTACTTATAGAATTCCTAGAACCATCTTCTTAATGGCTTGATTGAGGCTTATCCCAATAAATGTGACCATAAGTGCTTAGTAAATGATAATTGTATGATAACAGCCTTTTTGGCTTCACTAACAAAAGGCAGCAGTAACTAAAATCAGTGTCTACACGTACAGTGGGAGAAACCACATTCTTGGTAAGGCTGCTAACTGGTTCAATTCAGGTTATCGCTCTCTGGTCAGTTATCACCTGCATTTATTGGGAGCATAAGTACAGAGACCTCTATCAGCAGCAACTGTGGATACATTACAGAAACTAATAACTATTCCATTGACTCAACAGATATTCATTGAATGCCTGCTAGTCACACAGGGCAATCAATGCCAGTTGCTGGGAGGGGTAGAGAGAATATAATCACTGCCCTCAACTGGGGTGGAGGCAGGGGTGGTGAACAAGCTCCTCAAAGACAGAATTATAAGTAAGGATAAGAACAATCACATGAGATTTCATAAAGAACTAAATGTCTAATTGTCAAACGTTTGGTACAAAGTCAGGGTTATAATGTAGTCCTCATGGTCTTCAACAGGACCACAAAGAGATACCATTTACAGTCGCCCACAAAATAAAAAGTCTCAATGATACCAACAGTTGGCATTATCTTATAGTTAAATATTTGCATAATCTACCATTCAGCAATCCATGTATTAGCATATAATCAAGAGATACTGTTGTACCAGAGACATATACAAGAATGTTCATGGAGGCATGCAGGAGAAACTGGAAACAACCTAAATATACTTTGATAGGAAAACAGATTCAAAAAAATTTGTGGTATTTTCTGCCAAGGAAATATTACACAGCAATGAAAATGAACTCCAGCTATATGCCACAACATGGATATATCTTAGTAGCATAATATTGAGCACAAAAATTATGTCCCAGAAAACCACAGAGATGATACTAAATATAATATCTATAAACAAGTAAAACTGAACATATTCCACAGGCATACATATATATGTGATTAAACTATGTAGAAGATTGAAAAAACAACAACAAAACCAAGGGATTGTGAGACACAAAATCCAGAGCGGCATGGGGACTACATGGGGGAGGAGCACATAGCAAGACATCATTTATTGATAATGTTCCAATCCTTGGGTTGGGTAGAGAGTTTCAGCTGTTCATTATGCTCAAATTAATTTTTAAAATGTAGTTGTTATATAGGATCAGGAACACGTTTTTGTGGACAATTTAGTATTAAGCTGCAACCAGAAAATGGGCAGAATATGGTTTTGGTTATTAAGGTATTTATAACCTAACAAGTCAATTTGACAAACTCAGATGATCATTTTGTGTGCTTTTCGATACATGCTCTCATATGATATATACATAAAGCCAAATGTCCTCCATTTCATGCTCAATCACAATATTGTAAGCCTACATCCAGCTGGATAGCAGGAAGCAAAATCTTTTACAGTTTTTTATTAAAAATTTAAAAATGTACATTTCTGGAGAATCCTGGGGAAATGCTTTAATGTTGCCTACGTGTCCTTCTTGTCCGATGTCACCTGAGCCTCGGATCTGGCTTCCAAATGATGCTTTACTTCCTCCTTTCTCACTTCTTGCCTCAGGCAGCTCCTGCTTCTGCTTTGACCTGAGGAATCATCACCACCCCATCTCTCAATTTCCACAGTGGCAGCTGGGAACAGGTCTAACATTAAACATGACTTCACTAATTGCTTGGGCGTGAAGCATGAGGGAATTGCAACATAAAGAACCTCAAGCTGCTTTCCGAGTCCACAAGCCCCAGCCCCTCCAGAAGACTACCTTTTGAGCGCCTCTCGTCCTAGCTTCCAGCTGGCCCCAGTGTAACAGGGATCAGTTTATTTCTCCTCAGCGGCAGGACTGTTGAATGTGTGCCCCTTTCCCGGGAGCCTAGAGAGAGGAAATTCTTTCCCCTCGTTCCAGGCTAAGGTTCATCACCTTATCTCCCGCCCCAGGATCTGATCTCTTTCTAGGAATATTGACGGCGGTATAATTCACTTCCTTCAGGGAGAATTTTACCTCTGCCATATTTGTCTGGTTTTATCCAATCTCAAACCATCTCAAAGACATCAGAATACTATTATTGGACAGCAGTTCTCTCCCCAAGTTTGGATTACTCAGTTCTTTTTTTTTTTTTTTTTAAAGATTTTATTTATTCAGTTTTTTTCCCCCAAAGCCCCAGTACATAGTTGTCTGTCATAGCTGCACATCCTTCTAGTTGCTGTATGTGGGACGCGGCCTCAGCATGGCTGGAGGAGTGGTGCCTCGGTGCGCACCCGGGATCCGAACCCGGGCCGCCGGCAGCGGAGCGCACGCACTTAACCGCTAAGCCACGGGGCCGGCCCTGGATTACTCAGTTCTAAATAACAAGCAATGAAGAACAGTCTTTGGAGAAAATCAGGAACTTTTTTCATTTCTTCTACGGTCCTTGCTCCCCAATTTCTGCAAGCATTTGCTCAAAGAGCAACATACACAGGGTTGCAAAATACAATTCAGAAGCAAAAAGCATTCTAAACTCACACATTTCACTCTCACATAGAATTTTTCAGACTTATAACTGCAAAAAGATCACACTATTTACACTACTAAAACTTCTCACCCTGAATTACTCTACCCCAGGTAAAGTTGCTTGCATCTTTTAAAATAGCACCGCCCCCCCCCCCGCTCCCTCCCCCCTCGCCCAACGTAGGGTTCAGTCTTAGCCAGCGCGCTTCGTAACATAAATACCCGTATTCAAAACAAACGCTTTAGCTGAGAAGGAAAGAGTACATAGGACACGCTCAAATGCCTTATCCTCCAAAAAGGCTTCTGGAATCCTTAATCCGCCTTCATTTCGCAGCCTTTACCCTTTACACTCATAGGTCTGTTCTGTCTCGTAACCGCTCCTGGAAACTGCTTGCTCCCAGACTGATTCATCCCCATTCCCAGCACCCTGCGTGGCAGAGCGTAGGCGCCAACAGTGAATGAATGAGTCTGCACAAGACAGGCGGGAAAAGCGTTCGCTTCTTTCGCGATACTAGAACTACAGTGGTCACAAAACAACAACAACAAAAAACCACCCAAAATTGGACAAACACTCACTTTCAACCGGCTCTCAAAAAGAGCCCAAAACAGCGAACTACACGCCCCGACAGGCGCGAGACGGTAGGCGGAAGCCTTCCAGAAAACCGGAAGTGCTGGTCACGCCCCGCGCATGCGTGACCCCGAGCCGCTCACACTTCCTGCGCTTGGTCATCCAGTGAGAAAGCGAGGACTGCGGCCCACGCACGCCCGGGCCTCGCCGGCTCCGCGCCGGCGCCGCTGCGCATGCGTCCTGGGGTGGCCTGTCGCCGTGAGGCGGGGCGAAGGGACAGATTTTGTTCTTGCTCCCGCCCCTCTCTTCTCTACCTGCCACGTACTGGGCCGAGCTCTCGCTGGGCTCGGTGGGTCCGCGCGATTGGCCCGGCCCGCCGAGGGGACCGAGTGAGCCGTGAGCGCAGCCTCCCGACGCCCCGGAGCCCGGCGTCCGGCCAGCCGAGACCGCGGAGCGGCCTCGGAAGCCGGTATGGCCGCTGAGACGGAGGCTCGGACGAGGCGGGCCCCGGACGGGGAAGCGCGGGGAGGGCCCCGCTCGAGCCGGCGGGCGGCGGGGCCGGTGCGGCCGTGGAAGGGGTCGCGGGCCGGGAGGGGGAGGCCGGGTGGGGCCCGCGGGGGGAGGGGAGCGCTCCGGGGTGGAGGGGGTCCCGCAGGCCCGGTGGCAGGGCGGCGGGCCTCTGGGGCTCTGGGGCTGTTCGGGGCGGATTCCGCCGGCTCCAGGGGTCGCACTGGCGAGCGGGAGCTGTGGGAGGCCGGGGGCGAGCGAGCGGCCCCCGCCAGAGGGGCTGGGAAGGGCGAGGAGGGCGGAGAATGGCGCTGTGGGAATAGTGGATTGGGGTCACTGGAGAGGAACCTCGTTGCTTCGCTGTGTCAGCGCTGAATCAAGCGCCGTCGGGAGGCCTAGCCCAGTTTTACAGTGATGACGATCATGATCGCTAACTTGTAAGAGTTTACTTTGCTGGGCGCTAGACTGAGTATTTTAGGTGCATGATCTCCTTTAGTCGTCACAAAGATCCTTCCAGATTTAGATATTATTTACATTTTGCACATGATGAAAGTGAGGCCTGGAGAAGTACTTCCCTAAGGGCACACGGCTAGTAGTGGGAATCTTGACCATCTTGCTACACTGCCTCTGGTCAAGCAGGATTTGAGGCTCCTTGCGTTCTTCGGAATAATCAAGAGTTGATTTGCTTAGAGTTTCTTAGAGGAAATTTCTACCCTCGGGAGGAGCCTAATCAGGCCCCCTGATTTGAGCCGGGCCCTACCCACCGGCTTAGTCGAGCTTGAGGTTTGGCCACTGAAACTAGATCCTGGTTCAAGAGGCAGGCTTTTTATTTGCATTTGGGCAGTCGCTTTATTCTCCCGCCCTGAGAACAGTGTTCCTGTTGGAAGGTTTCATAAGTTAATGGCTGTGTCATTTCTGGACTTGAGAGGGAGTGGGGCAAGGACAAGATGGGAGAAGAAAATGCTGTAAGGATCTCACCAGCAGTACTGGGAACTAGTGGTTTATACCAGTCTCTACCTTGTGACTGAAGTTAGAGAAAAACAGGACCTGAATTCTTCTGTTACATAAATTGGGGATGGGATTTCCCCCAGCAGGGAAAATTCTGTGGCACCCTTAGTTTTGTGACAGTGTGCATGCCTTGAGGAGATGACTGCACACACTGGGGACAACCTTGAGGAAGAAGCCCTAGTTCAGGCCGCAGGGGGTTTCCAGTCCCTAAGAAACACCAAGGAATAAGTGAATTTGCAGGCAAACATGGGTGATACAAAGTAAGAGACTGATGTTGTCACATCCATTGGAACTGAGCAACAATCCCCCCATAGTCAAAAGGACATACTATCAATTATATTCGATGTTGGAAATTTCTCTTAATTAGTATGTGTATTGTGGGGAGTCACTTCTAGTTACATAAAGAAGGTACAGTGTGAAGGTCTGTCTTAGGAACTGACCTGAGCGTACAGCTTCTTCCAATCCCTGTATTAGAACTTAATTATTCCTCATTCATGTTTTGTTCAGGGAACAGAAACAAGCCTTTAAATACCTGCTATATGCCAGGCACTATTCTAGGTGCTACTGAGGGTAAATAGTACCATCTTGCTGAGGCTAAGCCCTGGTCCTTGACTATGTTATTGCTGGTTTACATATCCTGTGGGTAGGAGAAGGTAGCGTGCATTGAGTTACTGAAGTTCTTTATTACTCTCAGGCTGTAAGGCAAGCAAGGTGGAATCTGGACCGTCTTCTTGAAGTAATTATACTTCAGAGCTTGGCACATCGCAGGTATTCAGTAGCTGTTTCCTGAATGAAGAGAGCATGTTTGGCTAACGGGTGAAAAGGTCCTATGGAGGTTTCAGTTAATCACAGTCTTCATGAGAAGTCCATTATGAGAATTGGCAGATAAAAAACTAACCGTATCTTATTTTACATTACGACAAACACACCATCCAGATCGTGGAACACAGTCCACTCGGTCCTGCACTGACCTTAGAGGGTTAGATTCAGTATGTAATGCCTCATTGCATTAAAGATTTATTAATAAAATATAATCTGTTCAGAGGATGGCAAGGGGGTCTAAGACATTCATTTAAGGAATAGTCAGTTGGAAGGACCTAGGGCATTTATATGAAGAACTTTAGGGCATTATATGTAATATTCATGAAATGAGTTAGGACTCATGAAAACTCAGGGTTGGTATTTGAAGGGTTGGTGTTTTGGGAAGGTGGGGTGCTTTCAAACACACACACACACAAAGAATAATTGTAGAGAAGTATGAAAACCAAGTATGATGTTAATGAAATAACAAATTTAAGAGGGGAAAACAGAAAGCTGCCAGTAGAAAAGCATGAGATTGAAACCAGAATAGCCAGTAGGAGACTGTAGGGCGCTCTGAGCAGTCTGAGAGGTCGTTTACGTGGGGCAGGAGGAGAAAGGAGTTGATGCTGGGGAAGTGCAAAGTGGTGTTAGATAATGTATTCAAGAACATCTCAGTCTTGAAAACAAGATACAGGCCTTGAGAAGAAGAGATATTAACACATTATTTAATCGTGAGTGTTTTCTCTATTATATAGTAACCATTTAAATTACTAGAGACTTCAGACATTATTTTGAGTTTAGGATTACAAAGTCATTGCAGGATGATCACACTGAATAACCTGAAATAAAATTGAACTAAAACCCAAGAGGGGGAAGTTCTAAAGCAAATTAGTATTTAGTGGTCGGTTCTCTGACAGTCTTCTTTCTTTTCTAAAGTGTGCACTCTGATCTTACACACCCACTGAAGTCGGAGGGGGGGCGTGCATTATTGGATGTGTAGAAACAATAGTGGACAGTCTTGTTAGAAAGCTCAGGAGGGTGTCACTCGTTTGTCCTTCCTGCTCGAGTTCCAAAATAGGAAAATTAGCGAAAATACTCATGAGGTCTTTCTTATTTTAGAAATAAAAATTTGAGACTATTTTAGTGTTCACACATGCTTTTCTCTTCAGGGTTAGCACTTCGTTATAGGCTAATAAAGTTTGGAAGCCAGTATTCTCCCTTCATTTACCAATCGCTGACTGACTGCCTTATGCGAGGCACTGTTCTAGGCTCTGAGTATACAGCAGATGAAACCATTTACTTCCCTACTTTCTAGTGGAAAAGACAATAAAAAAATAATTTTTAATGTCTGGTAGTGATAAGTGCTTTGAAGAAAAATGAAGCAGGGTAAGAAGGTGACAGAGGAGCCATTTTAGGTTAGATGGTCAGGGAAAACTTCTGAGAAATTAACCTTTAATCAGGGATCTGAATTATGTGAGGAGTGTGAAAAGGGCTCCAGACAAAGGCAGCAGCAAGTGCAGAGCCCTGAGTTGAGGAGAACGTCTAGTCGGGGGGGTAGCAGGGTAGCTGTGGGGAGGGGTGGGAAATGAGGTTAAGTAGTTGGCCAGGGGCCAGATTATGACCTTGTGGTTCTTCTGGCTTTTACTAAGAGTGACATGGGACTCCATTAGAACATTTTGAGCAGAGTGACATTAGATTTTATTTCACAGGGTAACTGATGAGTTGAGAATAGATAAAAAGCGGGCAAAGGTGAAAAGCAGGCACACCATTAGGGGTCTTTTGCAGTGATCCAGGCAAGACGTGATGGTGGCCTGGATCAAGTTGACAGATGAAGCTGCTGATGTGGTTGGATTCTAGAGATATTTTAAAGGTGGTAGCAACTAGAGTTGTTGGCGATTTGGTAGATGTAAGGTGTGAGGAAAAAAGAACTAAGATTTTTTTGTAATCTTGAGCAACTAGAAGGAAGGAATTGTCAGTAACTGAGATAGAGAAGACTACAGGAGAAGCAGATTTTGGGGGGAAGATCAGGAGTTTGTTTTTAGAAATGTTGGGTTAAAAAATCTAAATGGTAAAGTCAGATAAGCAGTTAAATATGTGAGTAAAATAATAATAGACATAAAATAAGAGACTTATTTTCTAAAGCACATAATAGTTATCTCCAGACCATTTTAACATGAAAGTGGTATTATTGGAACAGCGAATCTCTTTTGAAGCCTGGAATTTCGTTAGATTCTAATAGTAGCTTTACTTGTCAACTTTCAAGGTATGTTTTATAGTTGTGTAATTATCAAAACCATTTTCTCAGCTTTTCTCTAGAGTTGTATATAGAGAACATCCTGGAGTCCACCATGAACGGACAGTTGGACCTAAGTGGGAAGCTAATCATCAAAGCTCAGCTTGGGGAGGATATTCGGCGAATTCCCATTCATAATGAAGATATTACTTACGATGAGTTAGTGCTAATGATGCAGCGAGTTTTCAGAGGAAAACTTCTAAGTAACGATGAAGTTACCATAAAGTATAAAGATGAAGGTAAGAGTATTTCTAAAGTTAGTTTTTAAAAGTCTAAGTATTTTGTATGTTCTTTTGCCCATTTTCCATTGAACTATCTCAGAATAAAAATTCAGTTCCCTTCCATGGTAATTGAGTGCCCACTATCTTCTATTTAATGGGATGCTCATGTAGTTAGTTATAATTCCTTTATAAGTTAAAAATAGCTAAGGGGCTGGCCCAGTGGCATAGTGGTTAAGTTCACGTGCTCCGCTTCGGCGGCCTGGGGTTCACAGGTTCGGATCCAGAGTGTGGACCTGCACACTGCTCATCCAGCCATACTGTGGCGATATCCCACATAGAAAATAGAGGAAGATTGTTACAGATGTTAGCTCAGGGACAGTCTTCCTCAAGCAAAAAGAGGAAGATTGGCAACAGGTGTTAGCTCAGGGCCAATCTTCCTCACCAAAAAAAAAGCTAAGTCGTTTATTATTAGAAGGGGGTTTTAAGTGATAGAATGCTTTCACATATATTTTTATAAGCACGTTTTTTCTCTTCTGCCTGTGCAATTCTAGCTTCCTCTTTGCTTTTAAAACCAAACTTTCACTTTTATTTCCCAAAGTGAAAGGGATATCAGTAGTTATTGAATGAGAACGGATTTCATGGTCAACTGAGTATGGGAAAGCCGGTTTAAACAGAGACAAATGTGTTTCTTTATTGCAGAAATTTTCAGAGCATTTAATATGCTGATGTACATTGTCAGCATATAGTATGCAGTGTTCCCAGACTCATTTGACCACAAAACTCTTTTTATGGAGATGGGTTTTAAATGACAGATGTTTCATCAAACACACAGTGGAATTATAATAGTAGTATAATAGTATCTTTAATCCCTGTTCTTTAAACCTGTCTTCTTGGTTAACGTCTCTATGGAAATTGTGCTTTAGGTGGTTACTGCTCTTTTACTGCTGCTGAATATATTTCCAGTTTGTTTCACCTTGATCTCAGTACTTGACACTGCTAACCACACCATCCTTTTTTAAATATGCTTTATCCTTTAACATCTCAGACACTGTGCTGTTCCCGTTTTCTTCTTATCACTCATAGCTTCTCTGTCTTTCTGGGTGTTGGCTTAAAGTAATGCCAGCTGTTATAATAGAAATCTTAAAATCTCGGTGGTTTAACACTCAAGAAATCATTCAGGAACCCAGGTTGACAGAAGCTCTGATGTCTTCAGCAAATGGCTTATGAGCTCACCTTGAGCATTGGCATCCAGCAGGCAAATGGATGAAGACCTCGTGTAGAGGATCACATGGGAGATTGCACTCTCTAGGCCTTGAGGTGCTGTATATCATTTCTGCTCACGTCACGTTGGCCAGACCCCAGTCACGTGGCTCTGCTGAGATGTCACTGGGTTAAGAAATGTCCCTGGTTGGAGAACCACTTTCCAACAACTTATACTGTGGAAGGGGGATATAAATCACCGATGATCAGCCGAGTTGATCATTTAGCTACAGGTGTAATTCACCTTTCTTTTTTGTACTGTGTGATCTAACAGTACCCAAAGCTAATTTTTGAGAGTCACCCATGTTAAGGAACAATCAAGGAGAGCAATTTTCGTCCTGTTCTCTTCCCTAGTAATCTCATCTACTTACATCACACTGACTTTCACAAAACTCTTTTATTTCTACATGTGTGCCTTAATTTGATCACTTTGTTCTTTTTATTCACTTGACAACTCAAATTTTTAACGGTCTTCGTTTTACCTGAGATGCTTTGCTCTCACCTCAAACTTGGCGTATCTTACACTGGCCTGTTTAATTGGCTTTCTCTTAACTCCGTTTTTTTGTCTAGGGCAAGGGTCAGCAAACTTTTTCTTTAAAGGATCAGGTAATATTTCTAGCATTGTGGGTCATGTGAGGCCTCAGGCTCATCTTTTCTTTCAAACCTTTTAAAAATATAAAAAACGCTCTTAGTTCACAGTCCTGTAAACGCAAGGATTGGTTCATTGGTCGCAGTTTGTGGACCCCTAGCTTAGAGAATCCTCATTGTTGAAACTTTGTCCTTCCCATCTAGTTACCCCATTGAATTTGTTTTCCATGGTATATTTAAGTGTTTTAAAATTTTTTTTATTTATTTATTTTTTTCCCCCAAAGCCCCAGTAGATAGTTGTATGTCATAGTTGCACAGCCCTCCAGTTGCTGTATGTGGGACGCGGCCCCAGCATGGCCGGAGAAGCAGTGCGTCGGTGCGCGCCCGGGATCCGAACCCGGGCCGCCAGCAGCGGAGCGCGCGCACTCAACCGCTAAGCCATGGGGCTGGCCCGTATATTTAAGTGTTTTGAATTGTACAGATTTGTGTTCCTTAGACTGTGCTGGGTACTAGGGTGGAGGTCTGGCTTAGGTCAAGTTCCTGCAATCAGGATATTCTGTTTCTGTTGGGAATTCAGAAAAGAAAAAAAGACAGTTATAGAAAGTTTCCTTCTTTTACATTAGTTTCTTAAAAATGTGTTCACGAGTAGAATCCCTGAAGTTGAACATTAGATAGGTTTGTTACGAGAAGTGTATCTGGTTATAAAGAGCTAAAAACGATGATAAAATCCTCAGTTATGGCTTTTATTGCCACCTTTGTCCAAAATAAATCTGCCTAATCAGTGTTAAAATTGCTGTAGCAGAGCGTCCCTGGAGCAGCCTCTCAGCCGCCCCAGGACAGAGCTCCCCGCCACCCCCTGTATCTGTGAAGATACCCTGCAGAGGCCCCTGGCCAGCTCCTTGCCTGCGGCTGCTTTTCTGTACTTGCTCTCTCCAGAGAACATTTTTTTCCCCTAGCCCTTTGAAAGCTTTTGAAACAGGCAATTGGTATGCTAATTATAGTATTCTTTATCCTTGGGATCTAGGGGATTTCAGAATCTCGTGTATATGAATATTTTTTCTGGGGAGAGTTGATAGTTTTCATCTTAGTATCAAAAGAGTCAATGACCTGAAAGACTCCACTGTCTACCTGTTTATTAGGGCAGAGCTGCAAAAAAAAAAAAACGTCTTTTAGTTACTGTTGTGTATGGCTTCCACTCCGTTTGTGTCAGTGGTGTTTTACTGTACTTAGAATTCAGGTTTGAACCTTGAGAGTCTTTATTCAACTTTTGATAAATATATTTAAATTTTTTAGAATGGAAAGGTTTCAATCTAAACCAATAATTTGTGATATTGCTACCAGGAACCTCCTCCTGGTGACTAGTAAAAGATCACTAAGGCCTTATTCTTGGCTATGTTTTAGCTAAGATTAGCTGTTCTAATGTGGATATGATAAATATCTTGCTGTAAAAATAATAAGCAAAATTGATTTAGTATTCTTTTGAACAAATAGGTCTTTCCTAGATCCTTTAATGTTTGTTTAAGATTTTTATGGGAGATTCTAATTATGCTCTGCAATTTACATTTGGATTTTAATTTAACGTATATCCTAGTTTACTGCTGATGCCAATCTGAGCCTCATTTCTTTTTTTTTTTTTAATTCCAGATGGAGATCTTATAACAATTTTTGATAGTTCTGACCTTTCCTTTGCAATTCAGTGTAGTAGGATACTGAAACTGACATTATTTGGTAAGTGGTAAACTTTCTCATAAATTTACTGTTTTATTCATTCTATTTTTTTAAAAGACTTTTTAGCTTTTTTTCTTTTAAAGACTCAGAATTAAGCAATAACTTTTTTCAAAAGGTGCTTGCATTAATTGGTGTTCCAGGAGTGGTTTTTTTTTTTGTTTGTTTGTTTTTTTAATTTTTATTTATTTATTTTTCCCCCAAAGCCCCAGTAGATAGTTGTATGTCATAGTTGCACATCCTTCAAGTTGCTGTATGTGGGATGCGGCCTCAGCATGGCCAGAGAAGCGGTGCGTCGGTGCGCACCCGGGATCCGAACCCGGGCTGCCAGCATCGGAGCGCACGCACTTAACCGCTAAGCCATGGGGCCGGCCCTCAGGAGTGGTTTAAAATTACGTGAAGCTTCTGACTATGTATGTTTCAAGAAAATGTTCTTAATTCAGTAAGAACTGGGGGTATTAAGATTATTGTTTTTGAACTCAGAGGTAAATTATATATCCCTAATAGAGTTATTATTGCTTTAATTTAGCTATATCAGACTTTTTGAACTATTAAGACTTAACTATATTCTTTTTGGATTGAGCACATACCCGTCCAGACAGATTTTTGCCTTTATTTCTTGCTTTTTTTTTTATGGTAGTATCTGGGCTTGGGAGTTCCCAAACTGTGCAGATAGTTTAAATTTAAACCTAACCCACCTAAGGACCATGGTTATGAATCCTCAAGGAAGCCTTCACAAACCCTGACAACCCAGGGTATGAGTTTAGTGTATCAATTCTTTGACTTTTCTTGCATCAGTGGAGAGAGATTTTTCTTCTACAGTATTCTTTTTGAGCATATATGCCACTGAGCATCTAGGACCTATGGCCTGTAGCATGTAGGCTGCTCACAGAAAAAATCCTGTTGATGAACTTAGAGTTCAAAACTCTAAGACACATGAAACAATCTATGTAAGCAAGAAACAATGGACACAAATGATAATAGGATTATACTTCCAAGAACTTCAGTTAATAGAAATGATAATCTATAAAATATGTGCTAAAAATTATTAGACATAAAAGAAGAAATAAGAATGTGAGAACAAGGCACTATGAAAAAAGAAGAAACAGATTTTAAAAAGAACTTAAGGTAACTTTGGAAATGAAAAATACAGTCATTGAAATTAAATACAGAGTAGAGAGGTAGATCAGCAGATTAGTTACAGCTGAAGAGGGAATTAGTGAACTGGAAGGTAGTCCAAAGAACTTAGAGAACACAGCACAAAAACACAGAGATGGAGAATATGAGAGAGGTTTTTGAGAATGAGATAGTCCAGGCTATTTCCATTGACTTTAAAGAAGGGAAGAATGGGAGAGTGGAAATAAATGAGGTAATGGCTCAAGAATTTTTCAGAATTATATAAAAGATCTAAACCCTCAGATTCAAGAGGTACAGTGAGTCCTGAGCAGGATAAGTAAAAATAAATCTCCATTGGACATACTGTCATAAAACTGGAAAATAAATAAGACAAAGAGATAATCTTAAAAGCCTGAGAGAATAAGACCAATCACCTACAAAGCGAGTAGACTGTAAGTTGACTTATTCATAGTGATAAAGGAAGCTAGAAACATCTTCAAACTATTCAGAAAAAATAACTAGGAAAGTAGCATTCTATAGTCTGGTAAACTTCAGGAATAAGGGGAAATAAAAACATCTTAAAACAAAGACTGAGAGTTTATCCTTATGGACCCTTGTTAAAAGAATTTTTAAAAATGGTTCTTTAGCAAAAAGGAAATTGAGTCCAGAAGAATGATGAAAGATGCAAGAAATTGTGAGCAAATAAACTAGTTAATGTGTGTAAATTTAAAGGAGCACTGATTATAAAAACAATAGTTTCAGGAATATGAAAATAAAATGGGACAAAAATACTGAGCAATGATTATATGTAAGAGAGGAGGGGGTGATAGGAATTAAAATATTTTAAAGACTTGTATTGTTTGGGAGGAGGATAGTAATTAACTTTAGATTTTTTTAATTGAAGTATGCGTGTCTAAAATTATTGAAAGACTAAAAATAGCCAGTAGAGGGAAAAAAAGGAAACAAAGGGTATTTACTTGGTTCACTAGATGGTGAGGAAGGAGGAAAAGAAGCAGAGAAAAAGCTTGATAATTAGAAAGCACAAAATACTCACCACAATACACATACATGGACTAAAGGCATAAGTTAAAAGACAGACCCTCTTATTGGAGTTAAAAATAAATTGATAATTAGAAAGCACAAAATACTCACCACAATACACATACATGGACTAAAGGCATAAGTTAAAAGACAGACCCTCTTATTGGAGTTAAAAATAAATTGATAATTAGAAAGCACAAAATACTCACCACAATACACATACATGGACTAAAGGCATAAGTTAAAAGACAGACCCTCTTATTGGAGTTAAAAATAAACAAAATCTAGTTACATGCTGGCTATAGGAGACACACTAAAAGACTATTATGCAAAGTTTGAAAGTAAAGGGCTAGAAAAAGATACACTAGACAAATTCAAAGCTTGTTGGTAATATTAACAGAATAGACTCTAAGTGAAAACTTCATTAGTAGTAGTCACTTCATAATGATAAAAAGAATAATTCACTGGGAATATATAGCAGTTCTGAACACTTTTGTATCATAGCCTAAGGAAAAATATACAAATTTATAATCATAGGAGAGCTTTTAATACTCTTCTCTCAGAAACTGATGGATGAAGCAGGCTCAAAATTAGTAAGGGTAGAGAAAATTTGAACAAATCAGTTATAGGCTTGGTCTTGTGCGTCTAGCAGTCAGGAGGGGATACAGTTTTTTTTTTGAGTACGTATGGACATTTATAAAAGTTGACTACATAGTGGGTTTTCCAACAAATCTCAAATATCAGAGAGGAGATATCCTAAAGATAATATCTTCTGGCTTTATTAGAAACCATTGGACAAAAAAGATAACCCAGACTCCCATACTTTTGAAGATAAAAATGTGCTTTTAAAAAACATAAGTCGAAGAAGAAATATTAATGGGAATTAGAAATAATTAGTGATGACTTCTACATAACAGAGTTTTTAGAGTGTGCTGAAGCTATACTTGAACGGATATTTATAGCCTTACATACAAAAAGGACCAAGTAAGCCCAAATAACTTAGAAGGAAGAAAATAATTAAGAGCAAAAATGAACTAGAAGTCAGGAAATTAGTAGGATCAACAATTTGGAAAAGATACAGTCAGCAAACCTCTATTTAAGATTAGTTAAGAAAAAAGAAGGCACAAATAAGCAGTATTAGGAATGAAAAGGGGCATGACTACAAATACATTGCAGTGAGGGAGAATGAACACCTTGGAGAACAATGAGGTGTCTCAGTAAAAGTGTGTTGGAAAGGATTTTTCAAAGGGCTTGCACTTGGGTTAGGTGATTTGGGGTAAGCTTCAAGGAAGTGGGGCTGTGCCCTAGATTGGATACCGTCCGAAGTAGGGGTGGTCCTCTGATTGGGTATCCTACTAAATCCAGAAGGTGGGAGCAGTGAATTGAGGCTACAGCTGCAGTTGGTAAAATAGCAGCAGTCCCTCCTGTTAGCCAGGGATGTTGGGTCATTTTTGTGGTTTGGTCAGTGTTCTGTTTCGTCTGAGCTCTCATGTGATTATGGAGTGGGCTTGATCTATCGCAGTCACAGAGTGATCTTTTCTGATTGTTCATGTTCTTTGAAATTGTTCACGTTCAACAGGAGAACGCTGCAGCCTGCCTGTGAGTGCCAGGCCAGCTTCTGGCAGCACTGAGGCCTGTCTCACAGGACCAGGCCAGGTCCTGGCTGTCAGGAGCTGCTTTTCTCCTCACGTGTTAGAGAAAAACCAGTAATACTCAGTAAAAGCCAGTAATTAATTGATGTAGGTAGGAGATTATATTGAACTTCCTCTTAACTATATAGGGAGTATGTAAAATACTGGTGGATTGTCTTCTGAAACTTATATTGGTTTTTTGATATTTGAAACATATTTAATAAAGTATCTCCCTGAACCTTTATTTCCAAGTAGATTTCCTTTTTTAATTTGGTGCCTCAGGAATTTGTACGTATGTGTACTGGTAATGCGTAAAGCATTTTAGTTTAGTTTAATTTTTGAACTCCTATCTTGAGGTTTGCATTCGGAGCCTTTTGTCACTTTTTTTTGTAAATAACCTCCATGGTGACAGTCTTTGTTGCTAGATGAAAGATTTGGTATTTTTTAGTCGGCTGAAAGTTAGGTGGACAAAATAGGTAATTAAATGAGGTAATTAGCTCTCATGTAAAAAAAGCCCAATGATTATTGAATACTCTCTGACTTTTTGGCTTATATACTGCTTTTGGAAGTAACTACTTTGAAGGACAGTGGTGATGTGGATTCATGAATTGTGCATATTTTTTTAATAGGTTACTTTTTAGGTCAGTTATTTTAGGTAGCTGTTTTTTCTTTTTTTAGGTCCAAAGTAGGTGGGAGGGGTAACAGACCTATCAGTCATGTTGCACCTTTTAATACTTATGTATGGAATAAGGTGTTTGTTATATTATTTAAAGAATATAAAAGAATAATGTGAAACAAAATGAGCCTTTGAAGGTACATAATTTCTATTAGGTATATATTTAAAGCTTTCCGTAGGTTTTATTTTACTATAGTTGAATTCTTCTAATAAACCTTTTTTGCCAATATGGTCATAGGCCATAGATCTGGCATCAGCAAAGACTGATGAATAATTATGTTTTCCAAAACATAAATTATTAGCAGTAAAGAATCTTTTCCTTGAAAAGAGTTATTCAAATGACGTCAATAGGTATCTTGTTTGATTTTGTTTTTCTTTTTAAAGAAATTATTTTTATTTTTCCTTATAGTGTACTATTCTGTTGATATATAAGAACATTTCCTAATTTTAAGCAAATTAATGCTTTCATTTCAGTTAATGGCCAACCAAGACCTCTTGAATCAAGTCAGGTGAAATATCTCCGTCGAGAACTGATAGAACTTCGAAATAAAGTGAATCGCTTATTGGATAGCTTGGAACCACCTGGAGAACCAGGACCTTCCACCAATATTCCAGAAAATGGTAGACCGTTTATTCTGATTTATTATTCTTGGTTTTTTTTTTTTTTTTTTTTGAACTCTTCTTAAGTAGGAGTAGGATGACACCCTCAGAGTCACCCTTTCTTATTCCTGCCTCTGTGCTGATCATATCTGGATTACCGTGAGGTTTTATTACACCAATTCCTGGATCTCATCAGAGACCTACTGGATGGTAGGGCCCGGAAATCCTATTTTTAAAATGTCTCTGGGTGGTTTTTTTACAACTGGTCTTGGACTCTCCTGGGTTTATGACATAGGTCAGTTTTCAAACCCCTTTGACTCTTGAACCCTTTTCAATGTAATAGATAATTAATGAACGTTAGGAATTTAAAATCATTTCATGAGTTTTGTGTGGTATATGAAGTAGTTTCAAGTAAAAAATAATTTTAGATTAGTGCATTAAAATAGCGTATTGTAAAGTTTATCTTAAACACAATTTTAATCATGCAAAGAAAAATTGATTTTTTTTCCATTTTACGGATGACGTGTACTCTCTATATTAAGATAAAGCAAGATTTATTGACAAATTTGGAACTGACATGTAGTTTTGGGACCAAATATATTTTAAAATGTAGACAGAAGTTTAAGTATGTATTATGGCTTGAAAGTAGATTTTAAAAAACTGCTTTCCTCATCTTTTAATGTTCTTAGATGTTGCACTTAAAAAATAAACTTTCTTTTTTACAATTTTTGTGTTTGCATATGTTTCATATGCTTAAAACTGTCCATATTGTGAAATACTAATTTTTTATAGAGTTTGGATGACTGCATATAAGGGGTTTAATAGAAGATGATTTTGTGGAAAAGTGGCATTGTAAAATCCCTTGCAACCTTTAGATTCTGAGATATTCTATGTTTTGGCTCTATCTAAATTTTGCAGTGTTGTTTTCTTTCTTTAATTTAGTTATAGTTTAAGTAAAGATGCATTTTTTCATAATTCCCCTCTTCTTCTCTTCTCCAGCCATGTGGAATTGTGTTAGTGGTAGATGCTCAATAAATGCTTGGTGATTGATTAGTAATTTCCAGTTTGATCTCTGTATTTCAGAATATGTTGGAGATTTGCTGAAATACTGTAATGAGATCCTCCTGGCTTCTTTTTGATGAAAGCTTTGATATTTCAGGTCAAAGCAGATTGCCTGTTCTGAACCCTATCTCTCCAAACAAAAAGCTCCAATTTTAGGTCAAGGAACTGAAGCAAACTTTTGGCCATTTTCCCAGAAAAATTCATAAATGCTGACACAACAGCATTTGCATATAATTTCGGGGGATTTAGGCATCTGTAGAATATTATGAAATTTAGATCAAAATTCAAGAAGTATAGCCAGTACTGTGCAGAAATTACCTACAGTAGCCTACGTTCTGCTCCAAGGAATAGAATTACAAGGTTTTTGGTTTTGATGAGGCAACCTTTTTGTTCTTACTTATTTCTTGCCATTGTTTCTACTGCTTTTCTTTATCAGCCCTTTATTTCCATGTTTTCATATATTTTATTGTTAACTTCTCACCTGCTAATGTAAAAGATGTTAAATTGGTTTCTTCTCTGCACCTTGGAATTTATATCACATATTGTTTCTTTTTTGGGCCGTCCTTTTAGTTATTGTGTCCCATCTGAGTTATCTAATGAGTTGAATAATGCATTCTATGCTTTATTTTCACAGGTGGTTGTAATTTATTTTTTGTTTTCTCTCCTGTACTTAATAAGATCACTTACCTCTTGACCACCTGCCTTCTAAGAAATTTTCTAAGCTTCTGAGCTCTTAGAACATATCCTGTTTTAATAATCTTCTCAAGAAAAACAGCATAAAATAAGCCAAAAAAACCTATGTCCGAAACTGAAAGTCTAGTCCACACACACAAAAAAACTGCCAGTCAGCTGTCAGTCCCGTGAACCATGTGGCTTGTCCTCCCCCGGAACTGTGTGACTGCCTGTGTTCTGAGTGCTCTGCCTCTGCAGTGGTTCTTGGACACTTGCTCTCCTCTGAGGCAGGTGATGCATAGTCTACCTTAAATACTGGCTTGACCTGTTGCAGTAGCTATAGCAGCTAAGGGAGCAGCTAATGGCATAGGCTAGTGCACACACATTGTGTTTCCTGCTGGATAAGTGGAAAGGTGCATTGGTAGTGGATGGTAGCAGTGTGAGGGGGAATAACTGGTAAGATGGGTGTGATCCGCTCTTGAGGTGTAGCTTTGGAGTCAGAAGAAGGAAATTGGTGAGGAAGACATAACTGGTAGGCTTATTTTATAGGAGTTTCCTTCCAGCAGTTTATGAAACACTAGTGTAACCAGTGGAATGATGGGAATGAATGAGAGTGCAGGCCCATGTGTGCTTCTGTTCCACTTGGTACTTAAATTTTTCACAGGATAAATTTTGTCTCCATCACAGGGTGATCTAATAACTGATGTTTATTTACTTGGTTGGTAACAAAAAAATTGATAATTGTCTAATAGAGTAAATGGTTGGCAATATTCTTTTTGTTTACTTGTTTATTGTTTGTTTTTATGCCCTTTTTTAATATTGTGGCCTCAGGTTCCTGTTTGTAAAGTGTGGTTATTCTTGAACCCTCTTTCTTTCACATGGTGGTAGTATAAATGCCTGCTGAGGGGCTTGGTGTCCTTAGAAAAACATGGTTTCACATTTACCCTGCTCATAATGTTTCAAGTTCTATTTTTCTGTTTTTTGAAATATTTTGTTATGGGAACATTTAGACTTGTACAAAGGAGACAGTAATACTATCATGAATCCCATGAACCCTCACCCAACTTCAGCAGTTATCAACTCATAGTCAGTATCATGTCGTCTATACTCCCACGCATCTCCACCCCTCCCATAGGATTTTAAGCAAATCCCAGACACATCATTTCATCTGTAAGGATTTAAGTGAGTAAAAAAAGTATTTTAGAGGAAGACATAGCAGATTTAAAGTGTGTGTTTAATGTGTTGGTTGGCTTGAGATTTCCATGTAATTTAGTAATGGACCAATAGACGAGTAGAAATAAAACATAAAAGTTGATAGCATAACTTTAGTTAAGCTTCTTATCCTTTTACAAAATAAAGTATTAGTGCCCAGTATGTATCTGATACTGGGGTATAGTTTATGGAGCTCCAAAAAAGAGGGGTAAAATATTTCTCACTATTTAAGGAACTTGTGTTTTTTTTCTCATCTCATAATTCTCAGGGAAGGAGGTAGATACAATCTTTTGAAGCTGTTATTTATCTTGCATTTCTTTTAGACCTTTTTTCTGATTTTAAAAATAAAAATATAAACAAGTATAAAGAAGTACAATTAACTATAATCCTGTATTCAGAGATACTCTCAACGTTCCAGACTATATGCACATGTATATTTCCCTATCTTGTATTTTTTATGCTTTATTGATTATAGAGATAAAATGGAAACAAGTTCCTGTTTATTCCTCTTCTAGATACTGTGGATGGTAGGGAAGAAAAGCCTGCTGCTTCTGATTCTTCTGGAAAACAGTCTACTCAGGTTATGGCAGCAAGTATGTCAGCCTTTGATCCTTTAAAAAACCAAGATGAAATCAATAAAAATGTCATGTCAGCGTTTGGCTTAACAGATGATCAGGTTTCAGGTAAGTTAGTTCCTCCCTCCCATCCTTCCTTCTCCTGTCCTTCCTTCCCTCTCTTTCCTTCTTTCCTTCTGTAATAGAAGGATAGCTTGGGTATGGTGAAGTACAAACATCTTAAGCGTTCAGTTCAGTAGATTTTTACATGTGTATATGCCCATGTCTGTATGCACCAGCTAGATCAAGGTGTAGATGGTTTCCACCCGGCACCCCAAGAGCTTTCTCCTGCCCTCTCCCAGTCAGTAGAACCCTCCTCTTTAAAGAGTAACCACTGCTTGGTTCAGGTCAGTTTTATCAAAAGTAGAATTCAGAAAGTTAATTTTTTAAAAAATCAGAACATTTTATAGTCTTATTTCAGATTTGTTGCAGGATTTAGATTATATTTGATATCTTATTCTCTCTTCTGATCTTAAATTAGAGAAATTTAAATTTAAATGTAGATTTCTGATTAAATTGGTTTAGTGTAGCAAGTGTTTTTATATAAATGTTTTTAACCTTAGAACAGCACTTATACTGTGACTACTTCTTTATTTTTTGGCCATCGTTTCTTCTGCTTCTTTCTCTGTTTTAGGATTCCAATTACACATACATTAGAGAGCTTGATACTGTCCCATGGGTCTCTGAAGTTCATTTTTCTTCACTGTTTTTTCTCTCTGTTCTTTAGATTGGATGATTTCTATTGAACTCTCTTCAAGTTCACTGATTCTTTCTGCCATTTCCAATCTGCTATTGAACTTTTCTAATGAATTTTTCATCTCAGTTATTGTGTTTTCAGCTCTAGAATTTCCATTTGGTTCTTTTTATAGTTTCCTTTTTTTCTGTTGAGATTTCTTACCTTTACGTTGATTAAGACTATTTTCCTTTAATTCATTGAGTGTATTTTTGTTTAATTCTTCAAAAACATTTATAATAGCTGCTTTGAAATATTTGTGTGCTACGTCCAACATCTGGGCCTGTTTAGAGTCAGTTTCTTTTGACTGCCTTTTTTCCCCAAGTGTGGGTCACATTTTCCTGTTTCTTTGCATGTCTGATAGTTGTTGATTGAAAACTGGACATCGTTGTTAATATGTGGTAGTGACTTGGGATTCTTTTAGGTTCTTTTGCGGATGTTTTGATGTTGTTCCTCTTATAGGGAGTTAACTCGTGTGGAGTCACACCGTTCGCTCTGTCTCTGCGTGAAGCATAGCAGCTGATATCTCTGCTCAGTCCTTTCAGCTCCAGATGCTGCTGCTTTTCCTGAGCCCTTGTGGGTGTCCCCCCTCCAAACCCTGTGGTCAGCTGGGGGTTTGGGCTGAGCTGACACTCAGATTTTAGGTCTCACTTCTTTGGTGGCTCTCTTATTCCAGGGATTTTCCTCCTAAATTTGCGGCTGCTTGGCCAGCCATGAAGTTAACACTGGTTTTCTGCTGCTGTGCTGCAGAGGTCGGGGCTTGCAGTTTTCGCCCATTGTAGTTCCACTGGGGTAAACTCTTTTCTGGTTTCTGCTGACATTTGATTGACTTCCAGTGATTTCAGATAGTTTTCTTCTATTTTGTCCAGGTTTTTAGTTGTTACCTATGGGAGCGTTTACCTGACCAGTTTACTTTGCCATTATTAGTAACTGGAAATATAGGATTCTGCCTGTTAATTTTCATTTTCTTTGAGAGTTTTGTGGGATTATTCACTAAAGAGAATTGTGTGAAATTCTGAAAAGAAGGGACAAATATTTGGATATGACGTATGTTCTTGGCAAAAGAAGACACCAGACAAGTGATACATCTGAAGAACATTTTTAGAGCAACTGAAATATGGGTTGGTACTACAGTTCCTTAATATTTAAGACTTCAAGAAATGCTAGATAGAGAAGTAAATAGTTACATGTGAGGTCAGGCTTAAAAATTGTTGTGTGTGACGTGTGTGAATATAATATATGCCAGACCAGGACAATGTGATTACAGTAGTCTCTCCTTAACCGCAGTTTTGCTTTCCACGGTTTCAGTTACCCTTGGTCAACTGTGGTCCAAAAATATTAAATGGAAAATTCCAGATATAAACAATTCATAAATTTTAAATTGCTTGTCATTCTGAGTAGCATGATGAAATCTCCTACTGTTCTGCTCTGTCCCAATCCCTCCTGCCTGGGACGTCAATCATCTCTTTGTCCAGCAGATCCATGCTGTGTACGCTCCCGCCCGTTAGTCACTTAGTAGCCTCTCTGTTATCAGATCGACTGTCGCAGTATCGCAGCGTTTGTGTTCAAGTCCCCCTTATTGTACTTAATAGTGGCCCCAAAGCACAAGAGCAGTGATGCTGGCAATTCAGATATGCCAAAGAAATGTACTGTTACTGATCTCTTACTGTGCCTAATTTATAAATTAAACTTTATCGTAGGTCTGTATATATAGGAAAAAGCATGGTATACAGAGGGTTCAGCATTGTGTGTGGTTTCAGGCATCCACAGGGGTCTTGAAACATATTCCCTGTGGATAAGGGGAGACTACTGTGATATGATTCACATTATTTGAAGAATATTTTTATGGTAGCTTTGGATGTTGAGCTGAAGTAGGAAAAACCGTACACATTGAAAATGTCAAGATACTTTGTAGTTATTCAGGTGTGCTGTGGTGAAAAACTCAGCTCCAAAAGTGAATGTGGACATGCAAGGAGGGATGAAATATTACAAGGATAGGATGAGCAACAGTAACTAATAGGTTACAATGAAGGGAGAAAAGAGGAGTCAAGGTAATATATATATATTTTTTTTGTGAGGAAGATTAGCCCTGAGCTAACATCCGATGCCAATCCTCCTCTTTTTGCTGAGGAAGATTGGCTCTGGGCTAACATCTGTGCCCATCTTCCTCTACTTTATATGGGACACTGTCACAGCATGGCTTGACAAGAGGCGCATCGGTGTGCACCCAGGATTCGAACCTGCGAACCCCGGGCTGCCAAAGCGGAGCATGTGCGTAGCGTATGGCATAACCTCTACGCCACCGGGCTGGCCCCAGTAATATATTTTGTAAGGATAATAACACAGTGTCTTTTGTAGGAGGGATGTGGCTGTATGTTTATCTACCTGTGTATAAATATCAGTAAAACGGTGGTTCCCAGGCACAGTCATCCATTTTACTCTGGTAATCATCAGTTTCTCTTGCGTTTCCGCTCTCTTCTCCTAGTGTAGATTCTCATCAATACTTGGACTGTCAGCTGCCAGCTGTGTGCCTAATACAGTGCTCAGTTCTGGGATACACCAGTGCACAAGATAGAGGTTTGCCCTCAGGGAAATGAGTGCTAGCAATAGCAAGTGCTGATGTGGAGCTTTCTAAGTGTAATCACTTGCGTGAGCTCTCATAGTCCTTACAGTAACCTTGCGAAGTAGGAATTAGTATTTCTGTTGTACAGATGAGGGAACTGAGGCACAGGAGGAGATTCAGTAACATGCCCAGAGTTCCACAGCGACTAAGTGGCAGCACTGGGATTTGAACCTTGGCTGTCTGGCTCCACAACCTGTGCTTTTAACCCCTCTTCTGTGATGCCCAAACAAAAAGAACTTAAAGGAGTAAGACATAGCTACAGTTATCTTCAGAATGTTTTTTTGACTGTCACAGTATTGGAACTGTAGTGAGTTCTCTCCGTTTACTTTGTTCATTTTGGAAGAATTTGAGTGGCTCTACATGTAACAGTGCTAGGCCTTGTGAGGCAGATGAAAAGAATCAGGAGTGTGGCCGAAAGAACTTGTAGTCTAGGAGGGAAGATGGGACCTGTTCAGAAATGCCAAGTAGCAGTTGGTTGGGGCCATCGTAAAAGTAAACTCTATAGAAGTTCTCAAGTAGAAAAAGTATTTCTGGGTGAAGAAGGCTTACTAGAACTGTGGAGTGACAACTGGGTTTTAAAGAATGTTATATTTAGACGTGAAAATGGGACAGTGGAGGGAACAGTGATGAATGAAATGGAGGCTGAAAAAATATTAGACGTATTGTGGGACTAGGTTAGTTTAGCTGAAGGGGGCGTGTGAGAAGAGGAATTGTGAGAAATAATGTTTGGACCCTTGAATACCAAACTAGAGGGTTGAACTTGATTTATGGGCAGTGAAAACCCATTGAAGAATGAAATGGTACTTTTGGTTGATCTACAGAATAGATTGCCTAAGGTAGGGGATACTGATATTGCAGAGACGAGTTTTGGTTTTTGCAGAGGGAAGTTAGCACTGAGGAATATAGCATCTACACTTTATAGGGAAGCATTTCCAGGTGTAGCTTTGGATTCTTAAGAGACTGGAGCAAAGGAAAAAATAAAGTATATACATTTAATGTAAAAGGCTGCATTTGTGGTTCTGCTTATTCTGTAGTACTTTTCTTTTTAGTCTCTTTTAACCAAACTTATTATTAATTGAGCTTGCTGGGGAGAGGTCTTGTGTTAGGAACTGAACTGACTTTTCATGACCATCCAGGGCCACCCAGTGCTCCTGCCGAAGACCGTTCAGGAACTCCCGACAGCATTGCTTCCTCTTCCTCTGCAGCTCACCCGCCAGGAGTTCAGCCACAGCAGCCACCGTATACAGGAGCTCAGACACAAGCAGGTCAGAGTGAAGGTAAAATAGAGCGTAGAGCACGTGTGCGGGAAGGTACATGTGCAGAAATGTTTATTGCAGCTTTGTTGGTAATGGTAAACGCTTACATGTGCGTTCATGCTTTGAACACAGTTGCGAGAATTTTGATTTATTAATATGGCATGTTTTGGTTAAAAAAACCAAATAGAACATTATGTCAGGTATGCTTTCGATTATCAAAAAGAAAAATCACCTGAAAAAAAGTGTTTATGTGAATATAAATACAGGGTGAAAGATAGGAAGGATTCCTTCCAGTCACTAGTCAGTGGGTCAGAGGTGACCCATTGAGGTGTGATGCCTTATTTTGCATAATACTTATGTGCCGTTTTGTTTTCTTCTCCCTCTCGCAACTGTGTATTAATTATTTTTGTAATTTAAGAAGATTTTTAGAATAGAGGTTTAGCACAACTTTAAGTGTAGTTTTTTTGAAAGATAAATAGCCTTTTATATTTTTGTGCAGTTAGCAGTATGTGTTTTGTGGAAAAAAATGCAATGTATATAAAATCAAACTTTTCTTCTCTAGATGATGTGTCCTTGGATGAGTAGTTTAATCTCTCTGGGTTTTGATATTCTCTCACTGTAAATATGAAAATTGGACTAAACCAGTGGTTTCAAAAGAATGTCTTTAGTCCTGAATGAAAATAACTTGAAAGCTCAGTGTTTGAAACAGATAAAGGGATCATTGCCATGGTTGCTAAAGGGGATTGGGGGCCACAAGCTCAAGATAGCAGGCACTGAGGTGCCTCATTGAAACCCTTGGAGTTCTGCAGAACATGGCTAAGTAGTTACTGGTCTATAGGGTTCCTTCCAGACATTAGAATGTCATTTCTCTGAATTGCCTGTGCATGTTAGGACCTTTAAAACTACACATTTCACTTTAAAACAAACACCAGGTGGTGCTCTAACTACTTGTATAAAGGGGCCAAGTGGTGGTATGATGTATTTTCAGCACCAGAAGCAAGTGACTGAGTCAAATCACATAAAAAAAAATCCTAGCCTAAAATGAACTGAGCACTTTTGGTAATAGAGTCCTGTCATCCTATGGCGATACTTTTAGAGTTGTCCCTTTGGACGAACGTTAGTCATAGGAACTAGCAAGTGGCATTTTGCTGATGAATGAGTGGTTGGGAAGAATTTCTTATTGCTTAAGCTTCTTTGCAACCAACTTCGGTCACAGTCTTTCCTTTGCACCAAGATGCAACTGCTGAAACTGGAACAGACCACAGTTGTGGCAGGTGTGGGCTGAAACAGGGAGGCAGAAGCAGAGTTTGGGTATAATGGAGTTTAATGGCTGTGTCCGGTGACCTAACGTCTGTTTAAAGACACTCTGTCCCGTTTGAAGCGTGTCTGCTGTTGTAGGATGGCAGCTGGAGGACTGTTGTACCAGATAGTCTTTGCTCTTCACTGACAAAGGAATGGGTTGTAGGGCTCCACTAACAGTATCTGACAGCATTTTATCAGGGGTTTGTTTTCATTGAAAATTTATTTTCAAAAAGGTAAAATTTTAAAAATATAGAGGGATATACAGTGAAAATTTGAAAATTCTCTCTCCTGCCTCTGTCCCCCAACAACCAGGTTCCCTTTCCAGAGGCATCCGATTAACACAGTCTGATCTGCATTGAATTCCTCTAGGGTGGCATTAATTGTATGCCTTGCTAAAACTGTTACTTTTTTTAGTTTAAATTAAAACATACAATATAAAAAATCACACAGTTATTAAGATGTGACATTAGTCAGTAGATTAGCGTTCTGGAGGTAAATCTCTAGATCAAAAGAAATACAGTGGAAGCCACATGTAACTTAAATTTTCTATTAGCCACATAAAGTTTTAAAAAAGGTAAAATTAATTTTAATTATACATTTTATTTAATCCAACATATCCAGTATATCAACATGTAATCATTATTAAGAAGTTATTAATGTTTTAAATTCTGTTGTTTCTACTGCATATTGGAAATCTGGGGTGTGACACCAATTTGAAACACTTCAAAACACATACAGCGTATCACAGTTCAGACCAGCCACATTTCAGGTGCTTAGAGGCTAGTGGCTATTGTATTGGAGAGCACAGCTCTAGATTAATACATCAGTTATTTATAGATTCCCGAGATGAATTTATAGGCCACTTTAATGAATATTTTTTGACATATGATGTGTGATGAGTCCCTGACATCACTGGTTAGATCAACTGCTGGTTATACTTTGAGCAAAATAATCAACATAAAAATGTATTACTAATAATTTATTAACATAGCAGTCTCTTAGAATAGAATATGAAATCATCCAAAATAAAATAAATAATTCTGAGTTTTTACTTAAATTCCATAAAAGAGATTTTGGAATTGTAAATTTTTATCCCAAGGATTTTAGTCTTAATATGTTGTTAAGTTAAAAGGATCAACAAAATGTTGAGCATCGTGAAAATAAACAAAATGGATGCTATTATCCTTTTTCAGATAAAGCAGGTGCCTCTGTTACTGGAAAACTATGTCCAGTTGAGTAATTGTCAAAATGATATACATAAGTGGTGAAGATACAGAGAAGAGCCCTAAAAACCATCAGAGACCAGGAGGTATTGCTGTCTGACAAACTAAAAAGGTGAAAAGGATGTAATTAAAATCTTTAAAATTATATGCCAATATAATGATAAGCTGGCTGAGTAGAGTTTTAAAATAGCTTTTATTGGGCCAGCCCCGTGGCTTAGTGGGTAAGTGCGCTTGCTCTCCGCCACTGGTGGCCCGGGTTCAGATCCTGGGCGCGCACCGACGCACCATTTGTCCTGCCATGCTGAAGCGGTGTCCCACATACAGCAACTGGAAGGATGTGCAACTATGACATACAGCTATCTAATGGGGCTTTGGGGAGAAAAAGGGAAAAGAAAAGGAGGATTGGCAATAGATGTTAGCTCAGGGCCAGTCTTCCTCAGCAAAAAGAGGAGGATTGGCATGGATGTTAGCTCAGGGCTGATCTTCCTCACACACAAAAAAATAAAATAGCTTTTATTATGTAAATTTTGAAACATACACAAAAGTAGAGGTAGAATAATCGGAACTTCATGTACCCATCATGCAGCTTCAACACTTACCAATATTTTGGCATTCTGTTTTCATCTATCTTGCCTCACCACCCCCATCTTGCCCCACCACCCCCACCGCTGGAGGATTTTAAATCATATCCTTTACATATTATTTCACTCAGCTATTTCAGTATGCATGTCTAAATGATAACCTTCTTTTCTTTTTAACATAACCACCATATCATTATTATACTTAACAAAATTAAGGGATTCTTACTGTCAACACATACTAGTCTAGATTTGAATTTCCCTAATTGTCTCATAGCTACCTTCTTGCAATTGGCAGTTTGTTAACTCAGGAGTCTTAATGAGGTTCACATTTTCCATTTGATTGTGTGTCTTAAGTCTTTTTTTTTTTCCAATAGCTGTCACCCCTACATGTTTCCAATTAAAGTCAAAACTATGTATATTAATTATCTATTGCTATGTAACGATGTACCCCAAAACAAAATGCTTAAAACAACAAACAGCTCTTGTCTCGTGGGGTTTCAGAGTCAGGGATCTGGGAGCGGCTTAGCTGGGTCGCGGTGCCTCAGGCTCTCAGGAGGTTGCAGGCATCTGACGCTTCACCTGAACTGGGGTAGCCCTTCTGAGATGACTCCCTCACCTGGGTGTTGGCAGGAGCCTGCAGTTCCTCACCACAGGGACCTCCCATAGACTGCTTGGGTGACCTCATGACATGGCAGCTTCCACCAGAGTGAATGATTGAGAGAGAGTAAGGTAGAAGATGGCTGTCTGTTTTAACCTGTCCTCAGAAGTGCCATTGTCATTTCTGCAGTATTCTATTGGTATACAGGTCAGCCCTCTTCGTTGTGAGAGGGGACTACACAAGGGAGTGAATACTCATGAGTTGATTGCTTATTCTCTGCTCGTTTTTGTATTGTGGAGTTAATCTTACTCCTTTCTAAGAATGTAAGGATCTCAGTCCATGGTCATACACTGTACATTGGGTCACTGAGGCTGGCTCCCACTCTGTGTAACAAAGTACAGTTCCAGAAGTCACACCGTTACTCTGCTTCATCCTATTCTTTCTTCCCTTAGGTAATATTTTTTATTACTTGTACTTTATTCTACCATTGATTCCTTCTGAAAATATAATACAAAACACATAGCATATATATGTATTTTTTTCCTCAAAGCATACCTTACTCTAAACTGTGTGTGCACCTTGCTTTTTCACTTAATCAGTATATCCTGCAGCTCTCTCCCTACAAGTATGTGAAGTTATTCCTCGTCCTTTTTTACAACTAAACACAGACTTCTTAATTACATTTCGGAATACTGTGACAGAGAGTCTGTTTTGGACTTGAATAAGTATGTTTAAAAAATGTAAAAGGAATACTTTGTAGAGAAAGTAATAAACCTCTGATACTTTTAACTCCAGGGATGGCATTTTCATAATGGGTTTATAGCAGATTAGGAAAAAACAGAGAGTGTGCACTTGCTTTCAGAACAGTTGTATCCTGTCAGTTTTTATTAAGGAAAACAATTAGGCTTTTTCGAGTGGGAGTTCCTTAGAATCATTGATGGCAACTGGCTACTACATGGAGTCTTACTCTCAGCCTTTTTGATGATACCTAGGTTAATTTTGATATTAAATGAGGTAACATGTACAAAACCCCTTTTAAACTGAAATGTCTAGAGTTAGGCCTGGGTTCCAGTCATGGTTCTTATTAGCTGTGATGTATTGATCCCAGGTAAGTTGCTTAATCTTTCTCTATCTGTGATTGGTAATAAGGTTGACTTTCTTATCCTCCATGTATTTATTGCCTGATCTCTGCTCATTTTTGTGTTGAAGAGTTAATTGTTCTAATTTCTAAGAATTAGAACCCATTGTCATATGCTATACATGTTTCTCCCCCTTGATCTTATTTCTGTACCAGGTTCTGGTCACTTCTGTTCTAAAATTTAGTTATGAAATACAATCCAGGATTAAGGTGGTATCTTCTAAGGTGGTTAATTTCTGTACTACCTTTTGTGCTATCTGTAAGTCTTAAACCATTAAAAAAGTATTTAAGAAGCTTTAGTCAGTTTTTTGTTGTATTTGGGAAGAGGATTAATAGCTTAAAAATAGTTAAGCAAATTTTATTTCTATCATAAAAGGCATACAGCTGCTTGCTAGGAGGTAAGCCGGCTGTAGGTGCAGACACGTCTGGTGGTGCTGCAGTGCTCTGGGCTGAGCAGCCGGTCCAGTGGAGTGGGCTCTAGGCCCTGGGCTCGTCCTGTGAGTGCTGGCTGCCTCTGCACCTCCATTTGAGTGGCACTAGATAATGTGTTCACTCTTTTTCAGTTGTCTCCTTCTGCTAAATTATGCTATTTACCATAGTCTTTTGATTAGCAGCAGGTAGTTTGGAAGAATTAGCCAACATATAATTAATTTAAAGACTTAAATACTAGCTGGATATTTTAAAGATTCAAATACTAGCTAGATATTAAAATGCAAGTTTTATTGCTACTCTAAACATTAGATTTAGCTAAATCCACCATTATTAGAACAACTGTAAAATAGTAATGATGATAAAGACATGAACCAGTAAATCCTTACTTGTTTGGAAATTGTAGGTAATAACAGTGTCTAAAAGATTTCTCCGTAGGAACTGTGGTCTGCTGACCCCAAATAGGATCTCGTTTCCAAGAGCACATCCCCAGTGTTTAAACAGGTCTGCCATTATTACAAAGTGCAAAGAAGGAGCCATTTAGGCTTTATCAGGTTCCCTGCGATTGGCTAGGATATTCAGAAGATGGAAAGGCAAACCATTGTCAAATGCCAAATGTGTCTTTGAGGTCTGGAAGGAAAGTGGTGTGTAGTTCCTTGCTACCAAAGAGTCCATTCATATGGTAACAAAGGTTCAGACCTTTACATGACAAGTAATATAGTGTTTTGGGAAAGATTTAGGAGCTATTATTGGTATTTGTCCCTTTTCTCAGATTTCTATTTATTGATTTTCCACTTACTTGATTTTCACTGAACATTAGCAGTACATATCTGTTGGCAATTGGGTTTGAAAGCATTTGTTTTTCTGGAATTTATGAAGTAATCACTAGTGTTATTGGCTGCCAATTGGAGTTCTTTGCAGTTAGTCCACAGCAGGGCATCCACAGTTGTTCAAGTGTTCATTCTTCTCTTCTTCATAGACATTTGAAGGGGAACAAACACATTCTTGTGTCTTGTTACTCAGTGTGTTTTTGTGTTTGGATGGGGGGAGAATTAAATGGGCCTTAAAAATACTTCTCTCTGCCGAGTTCAGCCTCCTCTTTTCCTTGTCCTCTCTTCTTCAGGTCAGATGTACCAGCAGTACCCGCAGCAGGCCGGCTACGGTGCCCAGCCGCAGGCACCGCCCCAGCCGCCGCAGCAGTACGGTCTCCAGTATTCAGGTGAGCACGGGTCTCGGCCTATTAAACTTTAACCCTTTCCTCTTAATTCCTTGATTTGTAATACTTACATTCTCATAGTAGGTATTAAGTATTTATTTATTGGGGGAAATAACATTAGTGTTATTTATTTTTAAATATTTTGCATAAGTATTTTAATTGTAAATCAACATTTCAGTTTTCCAGTGGGCAAGTAAAACTTAAAATCTTAGTAGATGATTTTGTAATAACTTGTATTATAAAAAAGTTTTTAATACAAAGCTATCTTCCTACTGATGTGATCATTTTACCTCTTAGGTGACTTAGAACTGCAAAAATGCAAGAATTTTTCCCCCATTATATGTAACACATAATCCCAGTGTACTCTTAGTACCTGTAAAATATTAACAGTTCCCTCATCCATGGAAAGGTGATCTTATTAAAGAAGAACCAAATTAAGCTACTTAGGTTTTTAAGTCTCCCAAAAGTATGTAGGAATACCAAAAACAGGCTAAAAAAATAGAATTGTTTAAAACGTAATTCAGGCAACTACGAACATTAAATCTAGTTGTTTGAAGTAGGCATCTTGGGTATTTTGTTTTACCTCTATCCACTGAAGATTATCCGTATTTAAATATGATAAATCTCTTTGGTGTAGAACTTCGAACATGGTTAGAATTCAGGTAATTTTTACATTTGTTGTATCAGAGAGTTTGTGTTCAACTCTTGTTTTATAGCCTAAGATTTAAGTATCAAAATTTCAACTGTAACTAAAAATAATTTATCTAAATTGAATCTTGCCTTAATTCTATTTTATGGAGTTTTGTAGTATTAACTGGAGTAGGAGTCAGCAAACTCTAGCCCACAGGACAAATGTGGCCTGTCACCTGTTTTTGTGAATAAAGTTTTATTGGAACACATCTACACCCATTCATTTCTGTGCTGTCTGTTGCTGCGTTGGCACTATAATGGCAGAAGTGAGTAGTTGCAACAGAGACCGTGTGGCCCACAAAACCTAGAATATTTACTGTCTGGCCCTTTACAGAAAAAAGTTTGCCGACTCCTGAATTGTATCATAAAATTCTATCATTCATTGGAGTTTGACATATTTTAACACACACAGCAATTTTTTATTTGGATTATATTAGCTGTAGAGTGACTTAACCTGTAGCTGCTAGTTTTTAATTATATAAGATAGGTTTTAAGTTTGGATTATGATATTAGGGAGAAGGTTATTTTTAGGATGCAGGCCTTTAAAGAAAAATCAAAGTGTTACAAAGTTTGTAATTTTTAGAAACAGTAAGATATAGGGTGGAAAAGACCTAGTCATCATCTGATCCAGGGGATTTCAACCCTTGCTGTGCTTCAGAATCACCTGGAGAGCTGTTTTGAGAGTTGCAAGTGCCTGTGCCCTACTCCCAGAGATTTTGTTGCATTTGGTTCAGGAGTGGGACTCGGGCTTTGATATTGTAAAAGCATTGCAGGTCATTCTCAAGTGCAGCCAGGGATGGGGACCACTGGTCTCGTTCCACTCTCTCATTTTATAAATGAGGCAGCGAGGGTTCAAAGATGTTGTGCTGCATTGAAGGACCCCAGTCGTTCAGTGGGGAGCTGGATCAGAACCCAGTGCAGTTAATTACTTCCTGATGTCGTTCTGCATTCTCCAGCCTAGCCCAGGGGTTGGCAGACTTTTCTTCCATAAAAGGCTAGATAGTAAATATTTTAGGCCTTGTGGACCATATGACCCCCTTGTCTTATACTATTCATTTATTCAAAACACTACAGAATTTCCATTTCTTGCAATTTCTTATGTTCTTCATGAAAGTTACTCACTTACTGTGTTTTTCAAGGGAGGGGTGGTGGTGGCAATAATAGAAGAATCACCACGTCATGATCAAAGACTAGTAGGTTGCTAATGAAACGACATCTTAGGTCCTTAGGGGTTGTCCCCTTTCTTGAGAAATAATTAAGGATCTGCTTGTTTCCAGACTCAGTTAAAAGCCAGTCTAGATTTCAGTTGCCGGGATGAAAAGGCAGCTTTTTTTTTGCTCACAGTCTTAAGTTGAATAGACATTTTCAGTATAAAAGCTGAGTCCTTCCGTTTGTCCAAAAACTTATAGTAAAAAAATGTTATGTAGAGGATAGGAGAAATTGTATGACATTCAAGAGTTTATCATGAATTAACTTTTAGTTCATCCTTAGATGCCACCAGAAGTAAAATGCATTCGATATTTGATTTATTTAGTAAAAATTAAGCTTGCTCTTAATGATTTTAGTCAGGGTCTTCACTTTGAGTAAAATTTAGTTCTTTTCAAATTATTATCTTTGTATTTCTGATCCCACTAGTCCTATTAACTTGAATTTGATTGGGAGATATGGAAATAGTCAACTAAATACTCTGCTTGGAGACTAAGTGGTGGTGGTAACATTGGACCATCTTTGACACTCTGTTGGTTTGCCAGTTTCCCTCTGACCTTTTCCAGTCAAAAAGGTTTCTTTCATGAGTAAATTTTGAACCCAGGTTCAAGGTGAGTTCAGAATATACTCAAATTCATTCAATCCTTTTTTTTTTTAATGCAGGGTTGTACATATTTTAATAATTTTCTTGTGTATCTGGTATTTAATGCTGACAGGATTCCAGTCAATGGAGAGGTTTCATTGCAAGTAGCTGCAGGTGTGTGCCGTGGTAGAGATACAAGTGTTCAGTGAAGCAGACTGTTTCTTTTAAAAACATTTACATACTAGTAAATAATGAGTATAGATGTTGATTTTGTGGGGCAATATGGTATGCTTTTTGTATGTTATGTTGTTACTAAGTCAAAATTGTGAGTTGTAAAGGCAAAAACATCAGATACCAAGTCTAAAAGAAATGAAAGATTTTAAGGATTGTGAAAATGGGTACTTAATGTGTGTTCTTAAATGGCTTAGTTTTTATAGAGTGAGAGAGTGAATATACCTTAAAGCATCTTATTAGCACAAGATGTATTTGTATTAGTACCATTGTTTGATTTAAAAATATTCATTCTCTACAGAGTGTTTTTATTTGGTACTGTTGGTAAATAGGCCTCCCCTCAGAACCAGGGTAATGACTAGCTTTTGCATTAATTCCTGCATTTATCATTTGAGCATCTACTTTATACCTGGAATTATGCTAGAACATAATCTATTCTCAGGGATTATATGGTCTAGAAGCAGTTGTAATGAAGAAATATATATATATTGGTTTCAGTTTAAGATTAGAGGGTTTAAAAATTGTTTAGAAAATGCCTCTTTGATACTAATTGGTCTTGAAATCATATTATATGGTGGAATCTACTGCTCTAATACTTAGGAATAAGTTTGTTAAATTTCTCATCATTTTTGGTCCATAACAGTAAGACTAATTCTCTGGAAAACTTTCACCAAAAGAAACATAAGATATATCTGTTACTTATTTTGCCTTTTCAGCAGGCTATAGTCAGCAGACTGGACCCCAACAACCTCAGCAGTTCCAGGGATATGGCCAGCAGCCAACTTCCCAGGCCCCGGCTACTGCCTTTTCTGCTCAGCCTCAACAGCTGCCTGCTCAGCCGCCCCAGCCGTACCAGGCGAGCAGTTACCCTCCACAAACTTATACTACCCAGACTTCTCAGCCTACTAATTACACTGTGGCCCCTGCCTCACAACCTGGAATGGCTCCAAGCCAACCTGGGGCCTATCAGCCCAGACCAGGTTTTACTCCACCTCCTGGAAGTACCATAACCCCGCCTCCAAGTGGGCCTAACCCTTATGCACGTAACCGGCCTCCCTTTGGTCAGGGCTATACCCAGCCTGGACCTGGTTATCGATAAAGAGGCTCAGCTACACTGATGAATGTAGCTGCTAGTGATTTGCCTCCCAGAAGACTCCAGTACTACTATTTTATTTTCATTTGTATTGAAGTTCAGAAATTTAAAAAGCAGAGCATTTTATATGATATCACTGTTGCTGTTAATTGAAAATATAATTTGCTGGGACACAAAAAAAGACCAAAATGAAAGTGTTTTCCTCCCCTGCTTAAAAGTGTAGCAGCTTCCTAGTTATTTTGGAACACTACTCTTACGTGTGTGTAAAGTGATTGACTTTCTAGCTTGCCTTGTCCAGAGGATATTAAAATGCTAGGTTGAAGTTTAGCCATCTTACTTGGATTTTTACTATTAACATGATGTACTAAAGTAGATCCCTTTGAGAAGACAACTAGATATTACTATGTATAAAATGTAACATTGAAAGGATAATAAAGATGGTTGAATCCATTGGTGGTCTTGTACTTTAATTTAGTCATCAACATTAGATATACACGAGACAAAAAGCAAGAAACAAATCCTTATTGATGTTTGGTCTTAAAATGAAGTATAGACATTTTAATTCTAGTTTTCTATTCAGAGAAACACAGTGCCATTTCATTTTTGTCCTGACTGTGAAAGAAATGCATTTAACAATCATTGGCTTAAAATAATGAAACTTTAAAATAGATCTCACAGGAAGATAGATTAGCGTTACATATAAACACAACAGATACAGTATTAAAAGATACGAGGTGGGGGGGTTTGGTGGATCCTGAATAACTGTGTGATTTTCCTTATAGAGATGAACCATTCAGAAATAAAGAACTCAATCTTAAAAAAAACTACATCTCTTTATTGCAGAGTTTATACTTGTTTGAAAAATACAAAATGTAGACTTGATAAAATTGAAGCATGTTGAAAAGTAAGCGCAGGAAAGGTTCTTTTCCAAATAAGGGCAACAATGCAGCATTCCCATCTCCCTCCCCCAGTGAAGGAAAGCAATACGTTTTTAAATAAAAATAAGTCAGATTTTCATTACAGGTTGAGTTAGAATTATGAAAACGTCCTCTGATACATCCATTCCTGGAGGTCCTGTGTGTAAAAATGTACTGAGTGTCCTGTGAAACGGTGAGTATCTCATCACGCGTCGCCTCTTTGTGCTCAGACTTGACATTCAGTCTCTGCGCACAGCTCGATTAGAATTATATTAAAAACAATGTGGAGATAATTGCTTAAAGGGATAGTTTGACAAAGTACATTCAGACATTGTAACATATGTATGGGTAGAGAAAGAACGAAATGTGTATTTTGAAACTGAATGTATCAGAGTCTCAGTTCCTTTTTCAGCTGAAATGAAATTTACTGATTCAAACAGTTTTTTCAATAATTTGCAAGTATTTAAGGAAATGTATATTTGGAAGAGTGGTTAGCTTCAGAAAAGCTATTCAGCTGTTGCTAAAAAACTGAAGTTTAAATAAACGTGAATATTAGGACCTTTTTTCCCCCAGATATATATGCTGAAGATAATTTGATCTAATAAGTTAAACCAAGTAGAGATTTGTGGAATTAACTCACCAGTAGGAAGAATATGCATTAATAAAAGTAAATATTTTTTTAAAAGTATATTAGTTTCTTGATGTTAATTTTGTTATAAAAGTATCTCAAAACATCATTACAACAGTGTTGATAAATAATATACAAATGATCTCTTAAAATACCATGAACAGGGAGCCAGCTTCCCCAAAAAAACGTTATTCTGTTAACATCAATATCTTGCTTTCTTAAAGTGACTTTGTAAAACCTGATAAATATTCTCAGCAATCTTTCTAATAAACATCTAATATTGCTATTAATTAGATTTTAAACTTTTATACATAGTAAACATAACAGCGTTAAATGAATGTGACAAATACCATAGTGTTTCCAATTATTTTTTGCCATGATGAAACAGAAGGCACTTTTGAACACGATTGCAGCATCTACCATTTTCCAGGAATTGTGGTTCCACATTCATACCACTGGACATAATTGATTTGGGTGTGACCACCTATTTCTCCAAATTGGACAGGTTCCTGGCGAACTGCTCTGAAATAGCCTAAAAGGGAAAGTAATTTAATTTTAATAGCTGCTGTGTTATATTTTTGCCCTCACCTCTCACAGATTGAAGGCTGTCATTGACTGGCTGAAGGTTACTCTAGGTGAAGCAAAGTATTTTAGAAAATGGATAGCAACAGAGACCATGGTGTCTTGCCTGAGGCTGTAATGGCTGGCTGAACATCAGGGACACCTGAAATTCCTTGACATCTGCCTTAACAAGTTAGGATGGGATGGTTGGTGGTGTCTGAGAGACAAAGCTGAGAGGGGGCAGGAGTCAGAGGGCTTTTGTATTTTGTTTTTTGAGTGTCATTTAGCATGTTCAGTATACTCTTGGTGTCTTATGTGACAATGTCCTTTCTGCACATGACAGACCAGTGGTGGTCTATGAAGTGACCTGAGTAAAGTGCTGTTTACTGTGGGGTTAGGAAATAAAGGATGAGTAGTTCTCAGATTACTCAATTTCTACGAGTTAAACTTAGGTGAACTTTTTCTTCAAGGACTCTACAACTAAATGATAAAAAATTTCACTGTGAATGTAAAATGTTACAGAAATATACACAATTTACAGTATGTATTAGATCCACTTCCTGTAAGGCAGCAGTTGCAACTTCCTGTTAATGGGTTCACAGATCTTATTAAGTCATCTTTTACTATGGTTAGTACTTTTAAGTGCCAGTGAACAAAATGTGTTGCTGAAAAGAGTAGTCAAATAATTTAAAGTATTTAACAAACCTCTTGGTGGTTTTCAAGTAATATGGACGTTTAATTTCCCCTCTCCTGCCCTGCCTGGACAAGGATTAAATTAATTTTCAGTCTTTTCAATCCTCATTAAGCAGCTTGGTGCTAATGTGTCTTCAGCAAGTTACAGTGTTGTTCATTTCTCAGCAGAATTGTTCTATTTTAATTGTATTTATATAAGGAAAATAATACTGTTTTTTCCATTTTATGGTAGTAATAAGGTTTTTTGTAAATACATTTTTGAGGGACTAAAAAAAAATGCCTATGTGCTCAGTATGACAAAAACCATAAAGAAAATACATTTAAGCTTGGGAAACACTGCTCTTCTATAGCTGTTTTTGCAAATTCAGGTTTTCTTGAAGTAGAATGCATTTATAATATGTCTGTGTGTAATATCTCTTGGCTCTAAGGAATAGAGTCTTAAGGACTGGCAGGAAAGTTGAGAAACTTCTGTTAAAGTCTTCATTTTAAGGTCTTATATGAAAATCTTTTTTCTAGCCAGATAATTAGAGCAGTACTATAGAATTATTTTTAAAGGGATTGCTTTCCTTAGCTTGAATTCTTCTTGGGTTAATTTGTAAAACCCTCTTGCTTATGAGGAGATTCAGAAAACGTACCTTCCTTGGTGGGTAGCTGGTCAGAATCGAGTTGCTGTCCGGTGCGTCCATCTAAAAATGAGTCTACAAACTGGCAGTGATCTTCTCCATGGCCTCTCTGATCGCCTATGTTATAAAATTTTCCTGAAGAACCAGAAATTAAAAGGATCATAAAGTGTTATTTTCTTTGATATGGGACAATTCTGAAATAATCAAATTGTTTCAAATAATCAGTCTTCCCTGTTCTCGTACTTTTTTCCCTCTTTCAGCCTAGTTTAAGCCGCTAGTGTCTCTTGACTGAACTATGGAATAGTCTCCCAGCTGGCTTCCCTGCTTTCAGAAATCCTTGCCTCTCTTTATTCTTCCGCCCAGGGATTAGTCATCTTGCAAAAATGCAACTCAGATAATGTTACCCCCTCCATAAATCTCTGCAGCGGCTTCCTGTTATACTCGGAATAAGACCCCAAGCCTTCTTTGCTGTCGGAGCTCCACATGACTCCACGCCTGCCTGCCTGATCTCGCCCTTCCTGAGCTCAGCCCCACGGGGGACCTGGCCGGGCCTGGTCTGCCGCAGGCTTCTGCATTCTCTTCCCTCCACTGCAGTGCTTTATCCCTGGATCTTTGCTTGGCTAGTTCCTTCTCAAGGTTTGCTTCTTAGCACGAGTGTTAGCTTTTTGGAGCTTTCCCTCACTGTTCTAACTGAAGGAGCTTCGGTTCAGCCATATTCTTTCCATTTTCATTCCGTTCAGCCATTTTCTCCCTCATCCTTTCTAAGCTTTCTTCAGAGCGCTACATGCAATTCTTATCTACGCGCTTGTCGTCTGTCTCCCTGCTAGACCATGAGCTACAGGGAGGCAGGAGTGGGTCTCGTCTGCTGCTGTTCCCGCACCTAGACCAGTGTCTGAGCAAAGCAGACAGTATCGGCTGAATGACTGAACGTATGTCTGCCTTTTATGTTCAGGCCAGCCTTATTTACTTGTTTAATATTTTTACTGTATGAATATAGAAGAGAAAATAACCCACTGAGTCTGGAGCAAGGGGTTAGAGCCCTTCGGGTCAGGTGTTTGAATCTTGATCTTGTCTCTGGCAGACTTAAAATCTTAAATATGTCATATGTCATATTCCTTCCATGATTACTGTTAAATACAATCATTTTATTATCAGTAGGCGTTCTGTCCTTGTTTGGCTGTAACAAAATTGAGCTTGAATGTGGTAGTGCCTTTACATTCAGGTTTGCCATAGTGGCAACTGTTTCAAATTGCATTTTCGTTATTTGCCTTCTAATGGCATATCTCACGTCCTAGGCTAAGTATTCCAATAACATCTTACTCACAGGGACAACTTGTATTACATCACACCTTAGTGGCTGGGACTGTCTGTAGAAAAGCCACGTTACAGAATGCTGCAAAGCATTCCTGGAGGGACCAGACTCAGAGCAGAGCTGGGCGCCCTGCTTACCTGTGAGGGAGTCGCTCAGATAAATCTTGTATCTGAGGGAGTTGCACAGCTGCACCCCGACGAACTTTTTATACCACGTCCTTTTGACATACTGTTTGCCCTTACATTCTGAGTAAGAGTCTGAGTTAAAGGGTCTTTCAGTCCAGATGGCGTCTCTTCCTGCTGCGTAAGGGAAACACATGGTTCGAGTTTAGTCTCTGACTTGGGGTACTGAAGAGCTGTCCTAAAAGCTTTTTAAAAAGCTGTTTGCAAAGTTCATGTCAACTTGCGGATACCTAGTTTTCTCCAATGCTAAATATTGGAGCCAAAAATATAGGAGTTTAAACACATAAACCCCCAATTAAATTCCTGTCAATAGTGAGGTAAACCTTAGAGCAGTGTTAAATAGCCTTTGTAGTGCAAGATGTAGACAGCATCCCTTTAGAAGCAAATTTAGGTTTCTTTTTTGCAGCATATTATACAATTTAAACAGCTGCTTTAATGTGACTTGTTATTAAAAGTGGAAATGAGAGTGTCATATCTTGACTTAATTATTTAACAGAAAATTTGAGCTGGCCTAGTACATGAATGGAAAGCAAGTTTCAAAATATCCAGCTTGTTCTCCGAACATTGTAGGCTCTTGATGTTACTGAATGTTTTAGGTAAGCACACACACCTGAGTGATAGTCTAAGAAGGTGAAATGGACCAAAGTGATATCATGACTGAAATTCTGCCATGCTCGTTTAGTTGAATCAGTTTGGAAAAGCATGCAGATGTATTCACATCGAGACAGGTACTTACCAGAAACTGGCTCGCTCACTCTGGGGTCCGCTGAGGAGAAATAGCAAACACAGGGTCAGACGTTATTAGGCAGGTCACGCCCAGTGTTCCAATGGCAGAGTTAAGAAGATGGGTGCTTAAGTTGTTAGGAAATCTACTGGCAAAATGGTACACTTGCTAAAGTCTGAATTTGAAAGTATGTTTTGTTTTGGAAATTGTTCTCGATTGGAGAGTCTCCCTCTGCCACGTACTCAGCTGTATGTCTTACATGTGATTTGAATGGTTAGGAGTCTGTTGCTGTTCCAGCTTTCACTTCCATTTTAAAAGCTTCCTCTTTTAGTTTCATACAAAAACTGTGGTTCGTAAAATCACCAAGATGCCATGAACTGCAGTTGGTGTAAAAATTATACAAATAATGCTGTGAGTACAAATGTATCTCTCAAAGGGATTGGCACTTAGAGGTTCAAATTAGAAAATTTCACAGCTGCTTATCACAAAAGAACAAATGGATTCCCTTTCTGAATGTACTGTGGCTCAGCGTGTCTGATATTTTGATTCTAGGCGTTGATTCTAGGCATACAGAGGAGAATTCATTCACTAGATTTTTGGGTATAGATTGATTACCCACTTTTTTTCTTTTAAACTGATGTGCCTTTTTTTCTGGCATCAAAATAAATGAGGAAAAACATAAGTGGTGTTTCCTTAAGGGTGCCTTCATCAGTTTGCTTTTCCCATGGATGATTTTTTGATATTACGCACAATGTTTAGCTGGGTTTCAAACAGGCTCTCTATGCAAAACATTGTGGCCCTCTCTGTCCTGTTGGGAATTCCTACTGAGGGGTTACCTGATTCAGTACTGAATGCCACTGTGTTGCTGGCTGGGCCTTCTCCAAGCGGGTTTTTGGGTTTCACCTGGAATTCATAGCTGTGTAGGGGGAAATTAAAATAAAATTGTAATACAGTCTTCAGGGGTAGGAAACAACATTCCCTTATTGTACTGACATCCTTCCTGAGTGAATGGACATGTTTAGAAGCAGCTTGAGGAAAGAAAACATTCTTTAATTTTACTTTCCAAACAGCTTGTCTAATGTTTTGTATAAGAAAAGGATTAAGTTAATAAAAAGGGTAGTTGTCTTTTAAAAACCCCAAATTAGTAGAAATACCTGGGCAAGTTAGTAATGGGTGTGCAGGAAAGAGGTATGTGGTGGACCCAGGCTAATTCCAGCAACAAGGACCCTCAGTTTCCTTCAGATGTTTCAGCTACTTCCTGGGCAAAGCTGTTCTTTTTATTCCTTATGATCCCAACCTCGAGTATATGTTGCCTTAGACTTAGGCAGTGTTCCTCATTGTGGGGTCTGAACTGCCTATGTCAGGATCACAGGATAGGGTTACAGTGGGGAAAGTTTGTTTGAAATGCAGGTTTCTTGTTCCAGCCTAGCTACGCTGAATCAACTTTTTTTTTTTATGGGGTTTATAACATATTAAAAATACAAGGTTTGAAAATACTAGCACAAAGCTCAGGAGGGAAGTATTGAAAGTATACTGTTGTAACATTCTTAAAGCATACATGAAGTGGTATTATATAAGTTGAATGTAGATTGTGATAAGCTAAAGATGTGTACCATAAACCCTAAAGCAGTCACTAAATTAATCAAACAAAATGTTATAGTTAATAGGCCGCAAAGAAGATATAATGGAATCAGAAAAAATACTCAATCTCAAACAAGACATTAAAAAGTGAAGAAAATACAAATGGCACAAATAGAAAACACATGGCAAGATGATAGACTTAAACCTAACCATATCAATAACCACATTAAATGCAGTCTATTAAAAGGCAAAAATTGTTAGATTTCATAAAAAAGCAAGATCCAACTATACGCTGCCTACAAGAAATGCACTTCAAATATAAAAGCAGAAAAATTAAAAGTAAAATGATGGAAAAAAAAATACCATGCTAACACTAACACAAAGCTGGATGGCTACATTGCTATCAATGTAGAGTTCAGAGCAAAGAATAAACATTTTCTTTACCATATTACCATTATCATAATGAGAAAAGGATCCTTTCATCAAGAGGGCAAAAAATCATAAGTACTGAATCAACTTTTGAGGGGGTCCAGGTAGGAATTTATAAGTTCCTGAGGTGAATCCCATGCCCAGTGACGCTTGAGAATTACTAGACTAAACTATGGGAGCAGACGAACGTGAAAACAGTTTGTTGCAAAGACTTCCTGCTTACATCTCCTGGAACGCCGCGGGTCTTCTGTGGATCACAGGAAGCCACGGTCTGTCCAGAACAGGGGCATGGTAGTGTCGCCTCATGGAGAGCATGGGCACAAAGACAGACATCTCTTTCCCCTTATAAACCAGATTCATACAAGCCAGGCCTTAACCCTTTACATTAAAAAACAAAACACAAAATAAACCCAGATCCCTTGGAGTATGTTCACTTCTATCCTTAAGAATTATGCATTAAATTGCTATGCAATATTTGACAAATTTCATTCACAGAATACTTAAGCAGAGCAAATCCTTTTAAATTCACACAGTAAAACTATTTGCTGCCTGCCTGAAACTAAGAGTTCCTTTCAGTAGCACACTTAGCAGGAAAGTAATTTTGAATGAAAAACTGAGTCATCTGATACTATTGAGAGTCTCAAATTTGTACAAGGCTTTTAGGAGGTAATTCCCATTTTTGAGAAGTTTGTAACTGAAGAAGAATGCAGAACACACAAAAGATAGATATTTTATTAACAAGTGAAAGATAGAAGGGTGACAGCTCTCAACTTGGTACAGAGGATACCATGTGAGCAGTAACAGGAGAACTTGCTGGGGCTCAAGGAGTCAATTTCTTGACTACTGAGACATTGTGTTAAAACACTGCTAGAATCTGTAAGAAGATAGATTGTAGCATTTTACAACTATGGCAACCACTTTTTGAGAGCTTACTATCTATCAGACACATTAATCGCTCTACATATATAAAGTAATACAACACACACACAAACCCCAAGAGATAGGTATTATCCTATTTTTTAGTTAAGATCAATGGGGCTCTTAACCATTGTACTATTACCATCTTTGCTTTTCCAAACTTCCAAACTTTGTGAAATGAGGATTAAAACGTACAGGGTATTTATAGTGGGAGACTGCCCATCGAAGCATTTTGTTAACTAATCAACTGATAAAAGGTGCCATTATCATTTGCAATAAGAGAATGCTGATATAAAACCACCCATGTCGCTCACTTAAATAAACTGCACATATGTGGGGTATTTTGACATGGAATTTTTTTTAGAGATTAAATTCTTGCTCAGAGGCCTGATGACCTTAAAAAAACAAAAACAAAAACCCACGATGGTAAACTGAAAATGGAAAAAAGAAATCCCAGGCATCTGGACTTTGATTCTGGGGGGGATGCATTCCAAATTCCAGGACATTGCCAAAAGCCCTGTGCTTTGGCCAAGTCTGATTGCTGGAATCATCTCCATGTCTTTTTATTTCAGTTATTTACACTTCAGCTCCATCTGTAGTATGGCCACAAATATTCATAAGCTACTTTTTCTGTTTTTTTTTTTGTCAACATTTTATGAACAAGTTCATTTTATGAACTTGACGAGTTTTGAGGAAATCATTTTAAACTAAGTTTAATTAACACCATGGGAACTAAAAGGCACATATTTTTTGGCTGATTAAACCCTATATGAATGGAAAATATTTGAAGTGGCAAAATCTTTCCCAAGAAAGCACATTTTATCACAAGATTTATGACACTGTAGGTCTAAGAGAGTAGTGTCTCAGAAAATATTGATTGTACCTAGGAAATAGCATAGGATGTTATTTAAAAATTTCATAGAGGACAAGAAAGTTATTTAAAGTAAAAAATCATAGAAGAAATAAAACTTTAAATAGAAGGTTTGGATGCTAAAGTTAAGGAAATTTTACAAATACTAGAACAAAAAGTCAGAGATGAGAAAATAAGGAAATTGGAGGCTTATCCCAGAGAATGCAGTACCTAACTAGTAGGTTCTAGAAGAGAGAGGAGGGGAAAAGGAGGATAGAAAATTATCCTAGAAATTATGTAATTTCTCAGAGCTGAAAGATACGGGTTTCCATATTTAAAAAGCCTAATGTTTGCCCAGCAAAATGAAAAAAGAAAAAAAAAAAAGACTAACCAAAGCACACAAGTTGCAAAATTTCAGAGTACTGTGATAAAGACAGGATCTTAAAAGTTTCTGAGAAGAAAATATGTACCATTCAAAGGATCCAGAATCAGAATGACATTTGATTTCTTAGCAGCACTGGAAGTTAGAAAACAATGGAACAATGCCTTCTAAAGTCTTCCTCTTATCCTAAAATCTTTGGCCAGCTAAACAACAGTATGAGAGTAAACAAGGATATTTTCAGGTGTGTAAGGGCTCAAAAACATTATCTTCCATAACCTTTTCTCAAGATGTATTTCTCAAGAAATGCCACAAAGTGAGGGAGTAAACAAAGAAGGAAGGCATGGGATGTAGGAATTAGGGGATTCAACATAGGAGAGAGGCAAAAGATGATGGTAAGGGATTCCAGGAGATATCTCCTTAAAAAAACAAATCATGGAACAAATAGCACTCAGCACAGAGGGAACAGGCAAAACACCCGTCTCCCAGTCTTTCCCTGAAAGAGGTTTATCTGCAAATGTTAAAAGCTGCTGCCTGAGGGTGAGGCCTCTAACTTTAGCACATGTCTAAAGGGGCTGGCTGCAATCTTCCCCAGAGACTGGGAAGCAGATACCTTCCCTGACCTCTCCTTCCACTCCATTCCAATAATAAAACCAAGTCAACAGTATCTTCCTGGAAGTAATTTGTACAAATGGTTGATGCCTTAGCTTTGCAGCTGCTGCCCAAGAGATGGGTCCCCAGATTGCCTGGTTCTGAGAGCCAATGGGGCTTGCTATAGTCCCACAGAACTATAGCAGATAAAGAAGCAGTTCTTAATGGGCACGGGAGAACCCCCTCCCCACACACATAGCTAAATTCTGGACCCAGCACAGAGGGAGCAGGCAAAACACCCATGTCCTAGTGTCTCCCTGGAAGGGGCTTAGCTACATAATTTCCCAGCTGCTGCCTGAGGGTCCAGTTGATAATCAGTCTGCATCTAACTGCTGATGGTGATCCTCCCCACTTTGGGACACTAATGGGTTTGGGCAAACCCTCAACTACTGGGAGCAAAGAAGCTGGCTTGGACAATCACAGAGGGTTGAGAGACAGCTGGAGCTTGGGCTGGGCTGATCGAAGAGGTTTATTTCCTACATGAGACCATTCTGTCAAGGGGGCCAGGTGGCTGTTTTATCTAATATGCAGAAACCAACACAGAGAGTCAAGGAAAATGAAGAAACAGAGGAGAATGTTCCAAACAAAAGAACAAGAAAAATCTCCACAAACAGTTTTTGATGAAATGGACATAAGTGATTTTCCTGATGAGAGTTCAAAATAACAGTTATTAAGATGCTCACCAAGGTCAGGAGAACCATACATGAACAAAGTGAGAATTTCAACAAAGAGAAAAATAAAAAAGTGCCAAACAGAAAACACAGTTGAAGAATACAATAACTGAACTGAAAAATTCATTAGAGGAGTTCAACATCAGACTGGATCAAGTGGAAGAAAGGGTCAACAAAGACAAAGACAGGGCAGTGGAACTCATCTAATCAGAGGAGCAAAAAGAATAAAGAATGAAAATAATTGAAGATAGCTTAAGGGACAAATGGGACACCATCATATGGACCAAGATATACATCACAGGAGTCTCAGAAGAAGAGAGAGAGAAAGGGGCAGAAAGCTTATTCAAAAAAATAATGGCTGAAAACTTCCCTAACCTAAAGAAAAAAGAAACAGACATCCAGATCCAAGAAGGCCAGAAAGTTCCAAATAGAATCCA